AAAAAAAACTCCGGTACTTCCGTATTATCGCAACTTATTGGCGACATTATATGAAACGAAACGCATGATTGCCAATTCAGCACATGCGAAATTAGGGTTGCCAACTTGACGAGTTATCTTGAAGGTTGGCGATTGTTGCGATAATACGTAAGTACCAAAACTCCACATTTGACAAGTTTTTCAGGTAATAAAATAGTCTGCGAACATATATAAATTCTCGTTTTAACGCCAAAGATCAACTGCATGCCAAGTAAGCGAGTGAAAGTTATATAAACGTCGCACTATGAAGCAACCCGAGTGCTATTGGCGAACCTTGGTCAAACGACTAGGATGACACCGAAGTTGTCTCCCCTCTTCTCACCACCACACCACATCAATGGAAGGACATTGAGCCTCAACAGGTTTAACGTCCATTGGCTCCCTCTTCATGGCGGTTCTTCAGTGATATCACAACTGTATGCCAAAGATTAATCACTAAATACTTTACAAACTACAACAACCTGTTTGATACAATCCTAATATATGATGAAATTCGCCAACAGTCACCAATTGTATAAAGTTAAAATTTTATTATTAAAAACGAAAACAGCAATGTTCCAAATCAGTATTTTTTATTGTACTAAGAATCAAATAGAAATTTAACCATGAAATATGACATTTTAAATATGTCTGATTCTTTCAATATAATTTACTCATATGATGAATTTATATGAATTAGGTAAGCCATTGTCTCATTCTCGGCTACCGAAGTCACAACCCGTTGTTAATATTGTGTATGAATAAACTATTTGTCATTTTTATTTTATGCTGGCTTGTGTATTTGTTTGATGTCTAGTTTATGAATCGTTTCCGATTGATTATTTTTGACATATCAAAGGTCTAAACACAAACAACACGCAATCTAATTATGAGCCACGTTTTTCCCTTCCGCTTGTCTTATTGCTTTGTCTTTAGTTGACAAAATAAGTCGGTATAAAAAAAACGATCCAGATCAACCCAAGTGATCATAAAAACCAAATGGTGAACATCTTTTGTCCAATCATCGATGTTCAAACGATTTATTTTTTTTTAATTCCAAGTGGTTGTCACGTGATGATGGATGTGCGGGGGTGCTCCATCATATGGAAGATGGATCGGGAGTGTCCTCTGGAGCAGCTGCCGTGTAAGAAGGAACGTGGTCATGTTGGATCCATAAAAAAAGAATGATGGCAGAGTTTTTGTGACAGATCCTACAAAATAAGTGCTGCCCCTTGTTTAATGGGGGAAGGGGCTTCATATATTTGGGGAATTGTTCCCGGGGACAAGGAAATCTTATTTAAAGTTAATTCGATTTGAAGATTCTTGCTATTTTAAAAAATATGTCATACACGAGATTTTCAAACGGGCAAGAAATTACTTTTAACTTCAAAAAATTATCTTGGTCTCAAAATTATGCTTTAAAAAATAATCCAAAGGAATTGTTTGAAAATTTTACATAGAATATGAACAGAATTTTTTAGACGTGTTTTTGCATGAAAACCGAAAAATTAAAATGGTTCTTTGACCCTTACATGATCATAAGGCTGCTAAGAGTAAATATTTGTATACAATTATTTATTTTAGTTTGTTTCGAAGTAAAATAAATAAAAACATTAAGAATAAATAACAATGCGTAGGGTTTTCTTAGAGAATTTTAAGGGAACAGCATAGAATTATTCTCATAAAATTATTTGCATGTTTTCATTTGTTAAAACATACTTTATCATTGCACAGAATTATAATTACAGAATAACATAAAATACATGACAAAAACACAGTTATATACGTAAGTTAGGGTTATTACTGTAATTTATGCAAAAAGAAGGCAATTTACTTAATGAAGTCGGAAGTAAAGTCGTATGCATCATACAATCGAATTATCGTTCTATTATAAACAACATTATGCGGCAAATAATATAAGAAAGATTTACGTTAAAACTGAAACTATGTATGAGTAGTTATGATATTAGTACTGAAAGTAATGTCCTATAAACTTATTTACCTGGAAACAGAATCACTGCTAAGGCACATCTTCGCTCTGAATTCAGTAGAAAATCAAACGTCAGAAAACACACAATCGAAATTAGCTGAATCTTGAAGTCAATCAAAAACGAGTCGTGCAATAAAGTCCAGATATAATAATATAATAATCGTTTAAAGTCTCTTCAAAGATAAAAATTGATGAATTACAGATACATTACAAAGAAAATTCGAAAAACACGATGTATTGCGATGTATTTGATTGATTGATTAATGCTGCACTCAGCAACCAACATGATGCTTCCGCAGTAGGCTAGTGATCAAGGTAACGGACTAGTGGCAGGCATGCCATAAGTTCGAGTCCCACTGAACACCCACCGTGCAGAGGCGGCCAATGCATGGAAAAGAAATCGAGACTCAAGCGTCCCCCGTTGGTGTGGTGGGGAAGTAAATAGAAGGGGTAATAGCTCAGGTGTCATCCTCGTCGCTTGACCATGGTTCAAAATGACGAGATCCGTCACCAATAGCCCTCGTGTAGCCTTATAGTGCCATGCAAATATACTCAAACTCAAAAACCAACATGATGGTTATTGTTGACGGATCTGGTATTTGGCGCTACATTCGAATGAGGAGGACCACCCCTCAGCTGGCACCTCCACTCCGAATCTCCCCTCCATACCAACGGGAGGACTTCGATCTTCAACAGACTTGATGTCCATCATCTCCACCTAATTACGAGTCTTTAAAGTCATCAGGAGTCGACCCACTATTGGGTGAGTGAGTGAATATTAACGTCGCACTGTTCAGCTACTCGAAAGCTTTTGGTGACGGACCTCGTCATTTTGAACCATGGTCTAATGACGAGGATGACGCCTGAGCTGGCACTTCCTCTCCTAACTACCACACTACACCAACGGGAGGACGTTTGAGCTCTCGACAGATTTAACGTGCATCGCTCCCCTACACGACGGGTCTTTAGTGGTACTGGACTCAAACTCATGACAAGCCAGCCACGATGCGATACCTTGACCACTAGGCTACCACGGCCACTTGGGCGGGCCGCTAAAAAATCAATTATTCACAGAAACATAGATTCATTTTGAATAATACGTTATAATAAACAGAAATAAAAGAACAAAAAAAATATCTAATGTTCTTATCCCACTCTTGACATCTGTTTTCTGCTGCTATCTTTCCAATTTCGGGAGAATTTTTCTAAATTTTAGTATGTACGAGCTGGAATACTTGTTCCTCACATGGGTTAACTGAAAAATTAAACACAATACAGACTGAAGGATAAAGAAGTTTTTAATGAGTTAATTTTACGTGGATTGTAAATTAAACGAAAAAAAAAAAGCTTTTTGCATATCTCAGCTGAACAAAAAACCATGTTTTCTTCAGCTAAAATATGCAAAAAGCTTTTTTTTTTAATTTTCACAATTCACGTACTAAATTTTATTATGTATTATTGTATATGGGAATGTACTGGCCGGGCTGCAAGAATGCTCGTAGTGAGCCGCATGCGACCCGCGGTCCGCCAGTTTGACACCCCTGATGTACAGTAACACCCCGAAGTTAAGGGAAAAGGTGGAACTGAGTGATAACAGCGTAAGTCGACGTAAGATTTCGCATATAAATACTGTGACGACGTCGATCTCTTCCCCCTGTTTGCTAACAGATCCCTTGCACCTTGCCGACAGACGTTGCGAAAATTCCAGGCATTTTCCTAATTGCTGGGAAGGAATTTCGTAACTGGGTGGTCAAATTTCGGAACCTTTTTCCCGGGCTGACCGGACTGTCAAAAAGAGGCGCCTTAACATTGTGTTTTCATTTTCCCGCAATTCGGAGACGACGGCGCGTGTCTGAGAACGCACAAATGTGCACCCAGCCTCGGCACCTCTTGGACGAGTGAACAGGAAACGAGACCGATTTGGCGCGGCAGAAGGGTAAGAGATCAAGGGAGCCGAGATCGGAAGGTGGCAGAAGAGAACAAGAGGGATTGAGGCCGACAAAGAGATCAGAGAAGGATGACTAGGAGAAATAGAGAGGATATAAGAAGGGGGAGAGGGTCCGGACTGGAGACTGGATTTTGAAGGGAGCCGTTTGGACGTCCCTTGAGCGATAGAAAAAAGCGATAACGAGCCCGCGAAGTACAGCGGTCTCCCAGCTTGGAAGATCAGGGAACGGAAGAGAGTGCGAAAGAGCACGGCGAAGTTGGAGCCAGCGAGCTCACTCAGACTTGGTGTGGAATTACCGAGAGTGAACCTTTTTTACTCACGATTGGAATAGGACTTTTCTCTAGCGGATGAAGTTACGCCCTTATTTTATATGAAAGAGACTCGAAATCATTACGGACCCTTTTGCTATTGAATTGTAAAAGAATATACCATTTTATTTTTTTGATGTTTTTCATACTGAAATAAATAGTTATCCAAGAGCTGTGTGAAATCATTACAATACGTATAAATTATATTTCGTTGGGGCAGGAGACGAAAGAAAATATTAATTTAGGAAAATTTGTTTTAATAAATTCTTTGATGACAGAAATACAAAAATCGCAAAACAAAGTTATTTTTTGGATGTAGAAGGTTTCATAAAACTTAACAAGTTTTTTGTCTGCCAGATCTAAGATTCCACCCACCCCACCCCGTCCCAAAATGTCCTCGTAGCTAAATGTCCTAATAACTTTTTTTTGTTTTCCATGTTTTGTTGAGACAAGTAATATTAAAAACAAATTTTAAGTCAATTTCCACTTAGGTCAACAAAGAAAAAATTTATTTTAGTTACTTTTTATTAAATAGTTATACAATTAATATAAATATATATGCATATGACACAGAATCACATTATTAAGTGACAAAATAGAAAGCGATTTTCCTTTCTATATAGGGTGTTGGACTATTTTTTTGTTTGTTTGTGTGTTACTATTTTTTCATTAATTAAATTTAATTATTCTAATAAAATAGTATAGTAAAACGAAATCACATTCTCAGAAATTAGGCCATCTCACGTGGGATTTGAACCCACTACCTTTGAATTAGAAGTTCAACGCGTTATCCATTGCGTCACAGGGCACAGCAATCAATTTTCCTTTCTATATATGCTATTGGACTATTATTTTTGTGTTTGTTACTTTTTATTCATTTTTTAATTTATTTAATGAATAAATATTTTTTAAAAAACTGTATTAACATCAAGGGTCATCCACTACAAGTTTAAAAAAATGTATTTGAACTTGAGTGGATGAATAAAAGTTATTTTATTAATGGCTGAAAATTTGAACAAGATATATAAGAGAGAGAGTGAACTAATAGTAGGAATTGAAAAATACAGTCTTCGTTGGGACATGCACTTTCTAAAATTTGTAACCCATTTTCAATTAAACTGAGGTCTGTCAAATTACCAACCATCAATCGATTTTCCGATTGTACTGGGTCTTCAAACTCTTCAATATCTAGCTCTTACTCGTGTATTTCTATGAGTTCATCCATTGTCAGTTCCTTATTGTGGGAATCCAGCAGTTTTTGAACGTCATCACACACTATCGACTCCTGAATTCATTTGCCTGGCAAGATCGACAACTTCTTCAATCAAATTTCCAACTTCCTCATGCTCTTATAATGATTCCGCCTTAGTTTTAATCCTACGTTAGGCACACGAATCTATCAGATGCATAATAAAAACAGTTTCGGTGCTACGTTCACACGGTGGGTTGGGACACGTCCCTCCTTCTTCTATCTGCCTTTCGTCACTCACCCTTGAAATGTATGTCACGATTTCTTCATATTTCGGGTGGCAGGGGCCATTGAATCCGATAGATACAACGCACCCAACAAGGTCAGTTTTTATGACCTTGAACAATTTCTTTTTGATTTTTTTTTTCTTGTAAAATAGTGTAGTTTTTAGTTTTATACGAAAATAATTCGAAACTAATATTTTGTAACTTCTGATTGATAGGTTTTTTTTTTTTGCTTTGAATTAAACCACATCTGAGGGCCACACACCTAGAATTACTACGCACCTAGCCACATTGACTGTATTTTATTCAATCCTCTCAATGTAGCTGAAATGAACTCCCAAAATATCTATATGGGAATCAAAGTTCCTCGGATCCTTGCGCACATATCTAGGAAAACAATGTCACGAACTTTTGAAGCAGCATCTACGAAGACGGTTTAAGTGTAACATTCACATGCCTCGTACATTTTGAATTGAAGAAATATCTGATATACAACGCCTCCTTCAAGACAAAAAAAAAAGAGAAACATTACCATAACTTGGAAAAGGTACTGTTTCCTCTTGACAGGGCCCTAAAAAAAGATTATTAAAATTTTGTAATGCATTTTGTGGAAAATTCTTGGCCCTGGGACATTGTAAGGTGATTTGTGAAGACTACAAGGCATCTTAACATGTAAACAATGGTCACACGGAGATAACTAATCATTGTCTTTTTGATGTTTTTTCGCATAAATGTAGGATATCCCATTTGTAAAAGGTTAGATCATATCACTTTACCGAGGTCGGCAATTCTAATCAAGACAGTATTCCACATCAACGCCATCTACCGTCCCTTTTAAAACGCCGACATCAACCTTTTTCGGCAGAGGCCCACTAACACTCGTCAGAGAAACGTAGTATTTCGCGCGTCAGCGCCTTTCGTCCGCGCCAGGCGGTAAGTCTTAATAGCACCATAATGAGTTCTATTTAATCTCAATTGCCTTCCTTAAAGTAATGTGATCTATAACTTTCCTATTCTTTTGAAATATTCCCCATGTAAATACTCCCCTATAATTCATAATAAATTATTTAGTTTTCAACCAGTTTCTTTCTTAAACTATGTTGTCTATTTTATTTCAAAATTAACTAATACACCCTAAAAAACCCTAGACACCACGCCAATAAAAACCCCGCTGTCTGAAGAATTCCGACCTTTTGGAAGATTTCGGTTGGATTCCCACATAAATATCTCCCTTCCTGATTTTATTTTAAATATTATTTTATGTCAAATATATTTTAATGTCAAATCTCACCAATAGAATGATTAAATCATCTTCAAACGTAAGTATGAGGTGGGGAGAAATGCCGCGTGCCTATCAGAACTATTTGAAGCGCGACTAGCGGAGGGTTAATGATGGAGAGGGGGGGGGGGGGCCGAATCAAAGAGATTTGAAAACTGCATAAAGTCGTGGGAGCGTTAGTCG